GGGTTACACCATCCGTTTTGATAGATTGCAGTAGCAGAGCAGCATCTGGGAAATCCCTTTACAGATGTGGAAAAGTGCCAAGCCTACTTGGCAGCTGAAAAGGAGTTTCGCTTTAGAGCAGGCACAGAGACAGAAGAAAGCACTTTCCTCCCACTGCCTCATTATGTACGGCTGTGCTGATTTTGGCTACTGGTCTAAAACAGAGTGGCACAACAAGCACCCTTTGAAAAGTGGTTCGGCCAGAGTGGATTGCTTAATTAGGTTTAGGAATGGTTTTGATTGTCATCCTCAGACAATAGTTTTTTTAACCACAGCAAAGCATCTGCTTTCAGTATTGACAAACATATTGTGCCTGAAACAGACGCAGCAATAATCCTGTTGATCCATTGGCGTTTTTAACACGTCTTTCACATTCTGTAAACGTGAGAAAATAACTCAACATTTGCATATCAAATTAAGATCACTGGATGCGTTACAAACACAGCAGACAAAAACCTGTTGAACTATCAACCAATTCAAGCAGTAATGAGGAGGATGTACTACTCCTGTCAAGGCTTATCCTGGCTGCTGCTCTTTAGGGATATTCCAATACTTGTGTGGTAGCCAGCCTCTGCTCCACCCAACTGTTACTCAGCAACAGCTGCTAAGGGCACCAAATGACAGGAGACCTGGACCACCTGGAGGAAATTACTCTCCCCCTTCAGGTGATTCAGGGATATATAAGTGCTGCTCTTACTCTGCTCAGGGCTGTGATATAGAGTTTGGACTCTTGAGTCTCCCAGGTCTCAAGCCCATCCCCTTCATGTTTTGAAGACTCCCCCATTTAGTATTTTTCTTAATGTGATTCTTGCTTATTCCCTCAAACATGATTCCGGGATCACCCCACCTAAGAAACTTGTCCAGTGCTACGACCTCTCACCTGTTTTGGATTTCCCCCCTCAAATCTTCCACCGGTACCTTATCTGGTCTCCACTACAGCAGCGTGCCTGCAGCTCTGCATCTACTGCCAGGTTTAACCAATGCCTGCTACACCACCAACCTGCCTGCGGCTCTGTACCCCTGGCAGCATGCAGCACTGCACTGCAGCCTCTATCAATAAGCTGCCTTCGGATCCCCAGGGTCTCATCTGCCTTTCGCCCAGCAAGTGAGTTCATCTTACACTCCCAGCTCGCTACTAGACGCATCGAGCAGAAGGATCGTTACTACTTATCCTGTGGAGTCAAAGCCAAAAACACAAAAAGGGCAGTGTTGGGTGGCCATAACAAAGCAAGCTAGGGGAGTATCACAGGCAGTTACATAGGGACACAAACTGGAGAGCAAATGGTTACAAGCTTATTTCAAGACTTCAGGGAAACATAGGGATTCAAGGTTTGTCTCAGTTGTAAGATATAAACCATTGGAAAAAAAAAACTCTGGAGAGATGTTAGGCCTCCGCAAGAAGCAAAAACAGTTTGAAATCCTTTTTGAAAAGGACAGAGCACGTATTAACAAGGTTCTGTTTTAGTAGCCCACTCCCAACTCACCCTTCAAGCAGAATTGCCAGCCAGCTGTGGGTGTGATGAGAAGGGTTGGAAAAGTGAACTTCACATTCCACTGCCCCGCTTGTCTACTAGAGAACTGAACACGGATAATTTTACTGGCCAGGGAAGGTGATGCTGACAGTCTGCATCTATTTATCACTTATCCGGCTACACGGTTGAAGCCAATATCCTGGGTTCTTTCCAGAAATGGCTAGATGAGGTCCTTGGAGGACCTTGGATGACCAAACGGGCCAGATGAGCCACATAGCCTCCTCTCGTTTGAAACTTTTCTTATGCTCTTATTTGACTGGGGTTCCTATCATCCTCCTGAGTGAAAATATAGACCAAGCTCCTCTGTCACGTGAACACGACTTGAGTTGGTGATGAGCGGGCAAAGGCTTTCACTAAAAAAAACTAGAACACACAACACAAAATGTGGGCAAGCTCTTTTTGCGTAAGAGAAAGAAATAAGCAAATAGTCCACAGGGGTCTAATGGATGAAAGGAACAATGCTCATTATTATCAAAGAAGCATCAATACCCTCTTTGTTTTATTTCCCCTAGCTTTGCATGAGATGAGCTTGCAAAGGATGTGGAAAAGTAGATGTTTTCAATGCGGTTTCCCATGTTTTTAATGCCTCTTATCTTAGTTGTACCCATTCCTAATCCCATAGTGACGACATACACAGCACAATTTTTAATTTCTTAAAGGGTTTATATCACACATTTGCTTGTGCCAGGGTTTCTGCTGGGCACGTGGAAGTTCCTTCCCTCCTGAGCCACGCCAAGAAAGAAAAGCCATGGTGCCTTGGACAGAAGCAACACTGCAATGTCTCCTTCACAGATTTAAACGCAACTCTGAGCAAACAGCTCCACCAGGGAAACCAGGGCACGAGTTGACTGTTGCCGTCATGCCAGATGGGTTCTGTTCTCTCAACCAAACGCCTCTGTGGCAAGTCCTCTGCATTACAGGAATTACAGAAGAAAGTGGGCCATAAAGACAAAGAGACGGATTATCATAGCAGTAAAACAATTTAGCTATGCTTTAATCATCAATAAATCATTCCAAATTACCCTCCCCACCAGCCCCTGGTGTACAATAACATACAGCAGCTTCTACATTACGCTGTGCTTCCTAGCGATAATGACTGTTACGGGACAGTAAATCAAGAGTGCTGGTGAGGTCACCAAAGCATTAACAATTAACGGCAGTCAGACAGCACAAGACCCCACGCCTTTCTGGACTGTGTTAAGTTTGATGCACGGAGGATAAGCCATGTGATAAAGCACAAAATGGGAAAGTGGACGGTGACAAACGCCATCCCAAACTCGTTCAACCCCAGTGGAGCGTTCCGTGGGAAAGGAATCATGCCACTCTCAACAAACTAAGTCTAGAGAAAGCACAATGAGGGCGGAGAAGCCCATTACAGACAGACAAATTATACACAACACCCTACACCTTACCAAACGGGATTTCTTGATTATTTGTTACGACTGGGTATACCGGTTTTTTCCCAGTACTATGCACGGGCATTTACTCTGGTCGCTTCCAAGAATGACATATCCAGCATCACTTTCACACTGACCATCATAAAGTGAACCACCAAGTTGGACAGTGCTACTTCAGGACTTGACTCGAGATATCTTGGAACCAAAAGCAGACCTTGAACTCAGCTTGACTGGCTTAGCTTCTGGTTTGTGGCTCGGGCCTCTATTTCTAGGTACTGTTTTGTTAAAAACAGAATTATTATTTTCCATGAATATTCTCTCCAATTAAATTTAATGAATTAAATCCTGATGGAAAATCATAAAAAGTGACCAAAAGGCATGAAAAAGGTTCATCCCCCCAACTTAACAGAAAAATGAAAGTATGAAATTAAGTCCCTGGTAGGTAAGAGCAATATTATTAAGCTCACCTGTTTGTCTTACATGTATATGTTTTTGATTTGCTTTGATTGGCAGTTTTGATTGTAATATTGAAATGAATGGTGATAAATGACATAATTCGTATCTATAGTAAAAACGTGCATACGTGAGAATTTAATGTGAGATACCTGTAAGTATATGTACACAAGAATGTTTTAGAAACCCTTTGCAACTTGTTGTTTTTGTGGACGGGCTTGCGAATGGAAGGAAAGGAAAAATGCTAAGAAATGAAGTGGCAAAAAAAAGTAATTATGCGGCTAGGTTTTGTTGTTCCCTGTATTTTTCTGCCTGCAAAGGACTCTGACCCACGGTGTACCTTGCCTTGCGCCCAGTGTTTGCTGCGACAGGCTCCAGCTGAATGAGGCGTCCCTGAACTGAATGAAGCAGTCAGAAAATGGACAGATGGATCAATGGATTTTACTGCATAGTACATTTTAAATGTCTTTTTTCTCCTTCTCTCGGAATGTATACAACACTTTACCATGTCCGTGGATTACAGAAGCATTATAAAATGGCTGCTGAGGAATTCACCGCCTGTTTCAGATGCAGTTACTGTAGGTCTCCCAGCCAAACATTCTAAACATAGAACTCGGCTATAGGCAGATCAGAGCCCAGCATCAAAGTGCACATTCTGATTAGGTGTGCTGAGCAGGAATGCACAGTGAGCAGATATACGGAGAAAATTATTTTGTCTGCATTATTCTTTTAAAGAAACACACTTTAATTAAACAGTTATGTAGCAGCCAAGAGACCTAAAATTGCATTTTAACATGCACAGACCCGGGTAAGGCAGACAAATGTGACGCAGGCAGGCAGTCAACATTTAAACTGCGCCAGATGAACTAATAAACGCTCTGCTTAGAGGAAGGGTTAAGAAATCACCATCACCTATAATTGAGTACCCTGACCTTTCTGGTCTTTAGAAGCCATTGCCTTCGCTATACGGCTTGAGAGCATCTTCGTGTTACAAAAATGTAATACGTGCCGTGGATACTGCAGTCAGGCCTAGAGGTGGCAGCTGCACATCCACAGGAAAGCAGTGGAAGAGAAAAGGCCAGATCGTTATACAGTGATGCCCCTCCTTGTCCCTCCCTACCATTTGACTCCTACAAGTGTTTTCTTCAGGCACAAGACAAGCGGACATGATTGAGAGAGAAATGGTCTTATAAGCAGTGAATAACCTGTCAGCAAAGAGTCAAGCTGAAAACCTGGGTTCAGGGATAATGGGTAATATCCTTCACAGAGCTGCAAATCAGAAGGGAGTAAAACCATTACTATGGAGATTTGGGGAGCCCAGCGTGATCGCTGGGGGTGTTCTCATTTCTCATTCTCGCCCAATCACCTGCACATGCTAGCAGTATTCATGCGAACCCTTCCTCTGACAGCACTTTTTGCCAGTTTTGTGTGTCAAGGCATATATATAGATATAGTCAGGCATGGTTTAAAAATACAGCATCTAAAAGTGCTAAAAAGTATTCTCAAGAGTTTGAAAACAAAACGCAGGGTTCAGAAACTCCCAGAGTTCCCACGGGCCATAAAACATCAGTGTACTCACCTATCCCATCAGCCTGCTCCGGCTCGAGAGAGTGATCTGCATAGAATCCTGGAGAAAACAAAAAATGGGGAAAAGAGTCATTAACACACAACAGCACAATATATCCTACTTACTCTAGATCACTACAAACAACAACAGTAGGTGGTCTGTAATGTGTAGTATTAATTTGTTGTGTTAACTGAGCTTGTAACAAAACTTCTGTACATTATTGATCTTTACATAACAAAATAGCAGCAATGACAATCAAAACCTGTTACCACAATCTTACATTATATTAATAACCCAACTGATAACTCCTTTTAGAGCTTTATTATTGCTATGAAAAACAAATGGATGCTTGATAACATACAAAGCGAGAAAGCAATAAACTACAACAAATAGTGTAAACAAAAGTTTTTGTATTTGCAGTTTTGCATCTGCACTGTTCCTACCTTCTACAATCTAAATTAAATGCAATTAAACGTTTCTAGGTTTTCATTACATGTGTATACCCCCTTTTATGCCAAAGGATCCCGAAGCAGTTCCCAGATAGGAGGGGACCCATTTCACCCACTAAATTGCAGTTCCTGCCTGGAAGACGTGTATCAGTCAATACGTACCACCAGGCCCAATACACAGCCGATCAGATGGATAAACGAGAAACGAAATCAACCAAATGAACGAAAGTACAACTTCAGGGAGGACAGACTCGATGATTCTGGAGTGGAACTGAGCCAGGACACTGGGGGTAAACATCCCTACTCTTGTGAACAGTGGAAGTGCTTCAGTCTGAACTGTCACAGCTTCTGTCTGATGTCTCATCCAACTAATGGCACCGTCTATGGCCTAGTGTCACATATCTCCATACTGGAGCACGGGTCTGCAAATTCTGGGTGAGATGGTGGGGCGCCATCTACTGTCCACCTTCACCACTTTTCCACAGAGTTCAACCATCCCTGTACTGAAAGGGCCGAGTCCAGTCATATTGCTGCTCTTACTGTATGTTATGCAAATTAAAATACAAGGTATTTAGTCAGTTATCATGAATTATATCCATAAGCCTTAGCAATAAACCCTGTCATATCTCAAATGATTACTAGTGCTGCGATTGATATTACCGTTACCACTACCACTAATGATCTTTTGGCTTTTGAAATTAAAATATACCTATATTTACAAATTCCCATTCTCACTTTCAGCTCCAACTTTATTAATGATTTCACCTAAACCGTTTCTGAGAACTACATATCATATAACATATATGAAGTACATATTATATACAAGGTATAACGATTTAAAAAAAACATGGAAAAATGCCCCAATTTTCTTTTTTTAAAAGTTGTTTGCTGTATTTTTTAACATTAACTTCAGAAAAAAAAATATTTCAGGAGTTAAATGTTAGGGTTATACGGGGAATATAAAATACTTTTATATTGCACACATAATCAGCAGTCTTGCATTTTGAACTTGGTAAATCACAAACATTTTATCAGAGGACAGTAAGGCTGTAACAGTTAAACGGGTCTCCATATTTTACAAGGGGCTGATTAGTTGAATCATAATGAGTGTATCATTCTAGACAAATGATTAAAGAGGATTTAAGAAGATACCACCGATTAAAAACGTACACACTTTACTGTAATTACTTTAAGAGTGTTTATGTAAATGCACCGATAGAGTGGGTTTTTATTTTTGCTCTATTTCTAGAGAACAAAAATGCATTAAAGCTACAGTACACTACTCCAGTTGTCCTTAGCCAGTGTGTGGATCGCACAGATATGTAGTGGCCACCTACAGTGCCCAGTTTCAAAGGGCATACATCTCCGTTCCTGCCCCGTCTCCAGGCTCACCCCACTATTGTCCACCCTTCAGAACTGACAGTGCCGGGAAGCGAGTCAGCTTATAGAGTGAGTGGCGTCGGGGGACAAGGAGCTGTCTGCCTTAAGATACCTCCCACCTTTTTTATTTTTGCTTTTTTTAGCCTCTTGTTTGCAAATTGTATCATCTCCTGCAGTGCGAGCCTGAATCTCTCCACAATGGAATCTAAGCGGTAGCCAGCATCTGTCTGATGCCATTAGCCTGCATTGGAGGTTAACAGTTCTATTGTCTTCAGTGTTTTTAATCAAAGCCGCTTTCGCCACAATTTTCAGTTTTCTCCTTCTCTTTTCATGTATCTGAATCCAGACAACACCACTGTATTCTTTTTTTTTTCTTTTTATGACGCACTGAAAGTTCTTCAGCTTCATGCAACTGAACTGGATTTTTAAAACTGCAAATCCATCCGCTGTATAGCTTGATTCTGGAACTGCAAGGATGCCCTTACATTCAACAGTTTTTTTTCTCTCCCTTGTTTTGTTGTGCTAAATCTATTGTACCCTGAATTCTTTCACCAAATGGCTGAATGTGATCCTGAGATCAATTAGCGACTAACCACTGTAGATAACGGGCTTGGATGGGCAGAATGCCCATAGCATTTATGATCTTACTTCAAGTGGGAATAACTGCGAAGACACAGCAACCAACTCACTGATGTGATGGACAGTAAGAATTGTATTGGCACCAGTAATTATTCCAATCTAACAGCATACAATTGAAAACTCACAAAAATGGCTCAGGGTACAGAAAAATAAAACTGAAAGGCTCATTAACAGTTCCAAATCCTGATCACAGCCAATCGAAAAAAATCTCGAAAGCTCTTTTAAAATTTTGATTCCACATCTTGGAAATATATTTACAGATAGTATTTGTATCTAATGAACAGCCTACTGAGCCCCCCAAGAGGATTACAGAGAATTTCTTTTCACTGCAACTCGTACCCTCTTAGCTTGTATTTGAACAATTTAAGGTGCTCGCATTTGTGTGACATCTCAGATGAAAAACCCATTCAAATCCTAGATTAAAAGTTGAAATACTCGGATAATAATAGATAATAAGCTAAAATAATGATCATAAAAATGTTGTGAAACTGAAGAATTAAGCAGAGCGAGTGTCAAGTATAGGAGAATAAAGGAAATCGCCTCATGATGGAAAATTTCAATGCATCTGTAACAACAACGTCTATTGTACCAACAAATTAGGGGGTCAGCTATCAATTGCATTCTCATCCACTGAAACTGACTTGCTGTGATTTAAAATGTTTCTTAAATTCGTCGGCATTCACTAATGAACAAGAAATGCATCACACATCCAGCCACATAATCTTTGTGGACAAATACTAAAAAAACACCTTATATCACTTTCTCCCTTTTATGATAGCTACTGTTAGAATAACGGGGCCAACAAAGAATTAAAAAAAATCTTTTTTCTAGTATCTGTTTATTATTGATGAAATAATTGACATGATTTGAAATGATTTAATAATCAACTATCAATGCCTTCTTACGTTGCCCAGTTTTGATTTGTACCTACAGGCAACGTAGACGTATGTTAAAAAGCATTTTTCGAAACAAATATTTTAAAAGGACTGAAAAGGCTTCAAAATGTTTCATGGAAAATCTCATTGCTTCTTTAATGCCCACGAGGAATGGTCAAAGTTAAAGAAATGGCAAAAAAAAAAAGATCAAGAATTCCCATCATTTCATTTCTCCAACTATATAAGTCTGGTGTCTCGTTCAACATTTCAGAGAGAAAATGAACAAGAACATTCTGACTAGCCACTGAGCCAGCTTTTGTACCAGGGAAGCATATGCTGCAATTGAAATACAGTACTGCATTCTAAAAGCCACAAAGAGTGGAAGGAATCAATTCAGAGAGCCCGTACAGCACAAAGAAAAGGGCAGGGGGGCACAGTGTTGGTAAATATGGGAACTTCTTAGTTTTCATTTTTCTATTCAGGCACTCTGAAATTTTTCTTTCACATCCCAACAATTGCCCAGACTGAAAGAATTCCTCAAAGCAAGGAGTAGGAACTCCTAAGGCCTGAGATGCAAAGCTCTTTCACAACACTGGCAACTCATTCATTCACTGTCTTTCAACCTCACACACACACACAGAGAGATAGGCTTCTTTTTCCACCAAAAGGATATTTTTCAGCTTTTATTCAGTGCTTTCGGGAGGGTATGAAACGCAGAAGTGCTTTAATCTCAAGTCACAACTCATGAGTTGGGTTACAATACGCAAATATATTTAAAGCCACAGAACGACCAGTTGTGAAAATGCAATTCAGATGTTCGGCATTTTGTGGAGTTTTCATTATATTCTAATATTTTAAGCAATCCCATTGTACACTCATGCATAAGCTTCTAATGAATATGACCTGATGGAAATATAGCATTACCCAAAACTTCAGCAGAGTTAAAGGAGAAAGATTTTCCCCTTATATGAAACAAAATTATTTTTTTCACAGGCAACAAAAAACAAATGCTTACATTACGGAATGGTATTCTTTATGGGGTTTTATTTCTTTATACAGGGTGCTCAAAAGGAATTTTACAATTCAAGATACCTTAACTTGCACCTACTCATTCTGTGCACCTATGCCCTCTTGCAGTATATACACTGATTCATACGCAGCTGGAATAAAACAAAAAAAAAATATTTTTTTCCTTCATTGATTTCCTTTCCGCTCCTGAGTTTATTTCCAGTTCAGCAAATAGAGCCTAAAGCATAGAGACCAATTAATGACAATACCTAAAGATCATTCACTTGGTACAGCTGAGTTCCATGAAAGGCAATTCAACATCAAAAAGACAGAAACTGCATCTGGACATCAGGAGGTGATCAATCCACGAACTTTCTCCTGCAGAGTTCCAGCTTTGTTTTCTACACAAGGTGAAGAATCAGTTGTGAGGCTCTCACATTTATTACACAGCGCCAGGGAACACAAATTATTCTGAAATCTGTGCTGGAGCCTCTCTATCATTCACAAAAGGCCTTTTTTTTCTCCATCAACTACTTCAAATCGCCATTATAGCTGTATGCAGATCACATCGCCGTTCTTTTTCTGCCAGTGAGCATTACAGACCCTCCCAAAAATATTAAAACAGCGTATTAAGAACTTTCTGCTACCACCATGGATCAACTCACCTAGCATGTTGATTGTCTGTGCAGCTCTTTCACCGATAATCCAC